AAACAAACAAACAAACATTGTCCCTTTACTATTTTATGTTAATAAAATAGTATAGTGATTGTGTAAACTTGTTTCCTATGTTTTATTTTATTACTTCAGTAAAAATGATGTTAAAAAATATAATTCATATAATTTTTAACAACCAGACACTCACAAGTTAGGTAAGTCCTCGCATCTTCCGCTATTAATGTAGTAATTTTTCTGTAATTCATTGACCTTATAAACAACAGCTTTACAACCAAGAAGTTGAACAATAGCGTGAAAATACATCCGGGACCTCTAATGGCAATCTAAAGAACAGCGCACAATTTTTTACAGCAACTAACTTTGTCTTTTGTTGAGTAACGTTCTAGTCTTCCTTCTCTGACCAAGTACAATACCAGTAATCACCTATGACTATTCTTCTTTCATCCTATTACGGGTGAAAAAAGAGAGAAATATTACAAGCTTTTTTCCACAAAGACAAAAAATTAGACGTCACCTAAAACAGTAAAACGATTATAAATATATGTGCCACTGGTTTATACGAAAACAATTTACATTTTATCGCGATTTTTCAACAAAAACTGACTGTATTAAGTTATAATAATGTGTGTATATATATAATACACTTAAGTTACGTAAAATTTAAAGAAATCAGCAGATTATTTATTTTGGTTGCTTAATATGAGACAAACACAGAAAAATGACAAATGTTTGATTAATAATTTAGAGACGAACTCCATTTAGAATAATAAAAAAAATCAACATTAAACGCCTGGGTCAACATTAAACACCTTGGTCAACATTAAACACCTTGGTCAATATTAAACGTCTAGGTCAACATTAAACACCTAGGTCAACATGAAACACCTTGGTCAATATTAAACGCCTAGGTCAACATTAAACACCTGGATCAACATTAAACGCCTGGGTCAACATTAAACACCTTGGTCAATATTAAACGCCTAGGTCAACATTAAACACCTGGGTATCTTACTTACTTACCATTAAAGCCAACTATGCCTGATTGTAAGATTGATACTGATGCTAATATATTTCTTCACTACTATAATTTAGGGATATAATGAAAAGCTTTGCACACAAATCATTGTATACTACGCAGTACTTGAATCAAGTCTGTAGATTAATAGTTTATAACCACCTACTAAATATGAACAAAAAATCAGCGCTTTGAAATATCAGTAAAAGTTTATCTCCCACTATACAGTAGTGTGTCGTCTGTCAGTCAGTCAGTCAGTAGACACTAAAATGACGCCACATAAGGGACGCTTGACGTTGCAATTGGTACTGTTGTGATGTCAGTGAAACGCGCGCATGCCATGAACGCGAGAAGAATTAAGCACTCTGTAAGCTACAGCACAGCATGACACATGAACTTCAAAAGCAAGAAATAAAAGTGTTTGTTACTCTTAATTTTGCTTTTATTTACTCTTGAAACAGAGCACTTTCGGGGACCCTGCGGAAGTATATCTAGTATAAATTCTGGTAGGCACAGATTTGTAGTTTTACAAATGAGCTTTTTAATTAAGCCCATAAAAATTCCAGATCGTCTCACTTAACCATTATTTTTGCACTTCTTAGAACATCATTATTTAGCGTTGTTCTTTTCAAAATTTTATTTTAGACGATCTTTACATGTTTATAACTAATTGGCAAACTTATAGCCAGGTCCGTGCTTCTAGTATTGTTTGTTTCGGATATTTGTGCAAAGATACACAAGGATTATCTACGCTAACCGTCTTAGTTTTGAGCTGATAGAAGGAAGGAAGCTAGTCAACAGCACCGAGCCGCCAACACTTGGGCTACTCTAATCGAATATTGGAATTTCACTGTCATTATTACAAAGCCCCACGGTCTTAAAGTGCGGAGTGCCATTTTGCGGCAACGGGACGGGAACCGGGGATCTTTAGACTAATAAACCTGCACACTGACTGCGTAATATTTAATACGACGATTTTTGGTTGTGTGTAGTTAAGCGCAAAACTATACAATGGGCTATCTGTGCTCTGCCCACCACGTTGTAAGTCCGCAGACATGCCGCTGTGTTACTGGGGGGGGGGGG